AAGGGGATGTATTGCAGGGACAAGTCTATAATTTTGCCACTTTATAGATCATTGGTTCGACCTCATCTGGAGTACGCGGTCCAGTTCTGGTCACCAGTACTAAGAAAAGATGTCCTTGAGTTGGAAAAAGTCCAGCGAAGGGCAACCAAACTAATTAGGGGTATGGAGGACCAGAGCTACGAGACGAGGCTACTAAATTTAAACATGTTCACATTAGAGGTGAGGAGATTAAGGGGGGATATGATTTCCATGTACAAAATGTTTAATGGTGGTAGCAACATTAGCGATAAACTGTTTAAAATTAACTCCGTTACAAAAACTAGAGGCCATCACCTAAAATTGGTGGAAAAAAAATTCCAGCACAAGGGGCGAAGGGGGTTCTTCACAGTAAGATCAGTTAGGGTCTGGAACTCACTGCCACAGGCGGTGATTTCAGCAAATAATGTGGAATTGTTCAAGAAACTTTTGGACGATTTCTTAAGGGACCGTAATATACAGGGGTACGGGTACTCCTAGAATGAGATCCTAATAGGTTGGACTTGATGGACTAATGTCTTTATTCAACCTCAAATACTATGTAACTATGTAACCATTAATCCTGTTTATCCAAATCCTCTTTATTTATCTCTTAACAAATCCCCCCATTCTTTCGTGTTCCCTATACATCTAATCCCCTACCCTTTACTCCCTCCTCCCCTTCCCTCCCTATACCCTATCTGTGCCAGTCCTTATACCTCTCTATGAGTCCTACCCTACTCCACCTCTCCTATTCTAGATTTATACCTATCTAGCCCACCTGGGACATATCAATAAGTTACCTCTCTCAACCCTATTACTAATAACATGTACATCCCTACCCCCCTCCCCCCAAGGCTCTACTATTTGCAAGTTTTACTTTAATATTTTCTTCTTTTCTATGGCATCTCTTCCTATTTCTTGCTCCCTTTATGTTTTCCCTTTCCGTATGGTTGACTAATATTCCTTATTCATTAATCGTTCCCTTTTTTAATTTGCAAAAGGGCAGTATACCTCTGATGCTTTGAATTCTTGCCACTTTCCCCATATTTTAAGAAATAACGCATATTTATCGTGCTTCATCATCACTAGTTCAACCATCAACCTGGTTGAATCCAGTTTGACAAACCATTCCGAGATAGAGGGGATTTCAGCTGTTCCCCAATATCTGGGGATCAGTGATTTAGCTGCGTTCAGCATATGGGGTAGTAGAGATCTCTTGTACCCCCTAGCCGAGTCTGCTGTGAGGTGGAATAAACATGTCCAGGGATCCATGGGTAGCTGTATATCACATATTTGCCTAATAGTATCTCTCACCATTTCCCAATATGGTCTAATCTTAGGGCACTCCCACCAGATGTGTGCATAAGTTCCAACCTCTCCACACAGCCGCCAACAGAGCGGATCATTTGTGTTATGTATCCTGTATAATTTCTGTGGGACGTTGTACCACCGTGATATCAGTTTGTAATTTGTCTCGAGTGTATTAACATCGATTGATGTAGACGTGACTACCCGTAGCATTTTCCTTTCCTCCTCTTGTGTGAGCTTACGGTTGAATTCCTTTTCCCATTTATCCAAATATGTAGGTGTTGAGCTATTTTCCTTTGTGCTAATAATTTTATAAAAAAAGTGAAAGGCATTGCTTTGGTGACTGTGAGGCTCCTAAGATAGTTTCTAACTCTGTTAAGTCATTACCTATTCTCAAAGGTTTAGGTAAAGTTTGAATGTAATGCTGAAATTGCTGGTGTCTCCACCAATCTAGTGGGTATGTTCCCCACTTCTCTCTTAGTTCTGAAAGAGAACATGTTACATTGCCTGTCAAGATGTCTTTTACTTTTAAATTAGGAGACCTACACCACTTTAAAAAGGCGGGATCTTCTCTTCCCGGAGGGAAGTATTCATTCCCTATTAATGGTATTAAGATCGAATTGTACGACCACCCAAATCTCCGGTGTAGCCGGTCCCAGGTCCTTATGGTTGAAATTGTGAGTGGCAGCGTGTTTGGAGACAAACATCTTTTCGATGGTGGAATCCAAATTATTCCCGATAACAGGGTTTCACTAGATACTGTCTCCAACACCGCCCAGCTTTTCTGTCCTATCCCGAATGTCCAGTCAGCTATTCTAACTAGTTGGGCCGCCAGATGGTAAATCCTGAAGTTTGGGAGGGCTAAACCTCCCTCCTGTCTCGTCCTACTCAAGGTCTTCCCTGATAATCTAGGTCTTCTATTTTGCCATACATATTTAGATATAACCTTCTGTAAAATTTGAAAGAAGATCCTAGGTATCTCAGTGGGTATCATCTGGAATATAAACAATATTTTTGGGAGGATCATCATCTTAATCGCGTTCATTCTCCCCACCCATGACAGCTTCTGCAAGGAGAAGGATGCTAAATTTGATTTAATTATATTTAACATCGGGACATAATTTTGTTGATATAGCTCCTTAGTTCTAGATGTTAAATTAATTCCCCGATATTCAAGCGTCTTTTTTTTCCATCTGAAGGGGAAATAAGGGATCATTGCTTGTCTTTCCTTTTCTGGAACAGTTATATTTAAGATCTCAGATTCGTCTAAGTTGATTTTAAAGTTTGAAAGCTCTCCGTATACCTGTAATTCCCTTAGTACCTGGGGCAGCGTTATTCTGTGGTATTTTATGTATAGTAAGATGTCATCTGCATATGCTGCGATTTTAACTTCCCCCGCTTGTGCCTCTATTCCCTGGATGTTTTGATTCAGACGAATCGTAGCTAGGAGGGGTTCAAGAGAAAGAGCGAACAATAGCGTGGAGAGAGGACATCCCTGGCGTGTTCCATTATATAATGTAAATTCCCATGACAGGGTGCCATTAATTCTCACTTTTGCTTTCGGATTAGCATACAGGGCAGATATCCAACTAATCATCCTTTTCCCAACCACCAGTATGTTCAGTGTATTAAACATGAAGCTCCAGTCTACTCTATCAAAGGCCTTTTCTGCATCAATTGACAGCAGTAAGACTGGCAGCCCCTGTCTTTTTGCCATCTGTATTAGTGATATGGTCTTAAGGGCGTTATCTCTCACTTCTCTTCCTGGTATAAATCCCACTTGGTCTGGATGTACCCAAGTGGGATTTATACCAGGGCGGTAACTTGCACATAGGCTAGGATCGTTTCCTGCCTTTTCGATAACTGTTATGTGTGCCATCAGTGCCTCAGGATACATTTTGGAGTTTTCTTCTATTGAATTTACATATTGGCAGAATTGTTGGTTTAAAATATCCTGGAACCTTTTATAATACAACAAAGTGAATCCATCCGGGCCAGGGCTTCCACCTGTCTGGGTTGAAGCAACTGCCCTTTTGAATTCCTCTGGAGCAATATCTGTTTCCAGAGCATTTAACATGTCTACTAACGTTATTGGGAGTCTTGCCTGTTTCAGGTATGTTTTAATTTTTTCTAGTTTTTCTATTCCCTCTGTTAGTTTACCCTGCTCACGGGGCCCTTTTGCATGGTATCATTTTTGGTAAAAGTCCTGAAATGTCTCCGCAATTTCAGTTGTGGAATGTACTGTAGACCCTGTTTTAGTTTTAATTTTAGCTATGTATGTAATGGATTGTTTAGTTTTAAGTGCCTTCACCAGGAATTTGCTAGGTTTATTCCCCATCTCATAGTATTGTCTATGGGTTATATTAAACGCCCGTTTGGTATCCGCCTCCAGTACTTCTTTTAATTGTTCTCTATCAGGGTTAATTCCATGAGAGCCCTCGGGTCTAAGGTTAGTTTATGAGTTGTTTCCAATTGTTGAATTGCTTCTAATAATAGTTTTGTATCCTTAGTCCTCTCTTTCTTCCGATTAGCCCCTATTGCGACCAGCTTGCCTCTAAGAACTGCTTTATGAGCCTCCCACACAGTTACCGGTGATACTCCTTCAGTTACATTCTCCTGAAAATAATATTTTAATACCCTTTCCTGTTCCTGGACGACCGACTTATCATGTAGCAAGGAGTCATTCAGCTTCCAGTTGTATTGCCTCCCCATCGACTTATTTATATTCAGCGATAATTCAACCGGAGCATGGTCCGAGATTGTCTTGGGGAGAATATTTACAGACCTCACCAACTCTATTGACACATGATCGATCAGTATCCAGTCCAATCTTGAGTAGGAATCATGCAGCTGAGAGTAATACGTGTAGTCTCGTTCCTTTGGATGTAATATACTCCAGATATCCACTAATTGGTATTTCCGCATCTCCCTTCTCGATCGGGTGAGATGGGAGATATGATTGCGTACCCTTCCTGATGATGTATCGAGCATGGGGTCTAAGCATAAGTTAAAATCCCCTGCCATTATCAGGGTACCTTTCCGAAATTCCCCCAACTTCCTAAGTGTCTTTAACATAAAAGGAACTTGCAACGATTCGGCGCATATATGTTCACCAACGTATAATCCGTCCCATTTACAGATACATGAATAAATAAAAATCTACCCTCTATATCTGCCAATCGAGCATGCACCTGCACTGACATACTTCTTCTAAAACCTATTGCTACCCCCTTGGATCTCTTATTATTCGAAAGACTGTAAAACCATTGAAGATAATCTCTGGACCCTAAATATGACGTTGATGTATGAGAAAAGTGTGTCTCTTGTAAAAAAAATATCTGCCTCGTGTCTTTTCATTTCCTGTAGAATCTGGTGTCTTTTAGCTGTTGTATTGAAACCCCTTACATTATAGGGAATTACTTTGATAGTTGCCATATGGTTCTCCTAAACAGTTTTCCCTGGTCTCCTGCTGAGCCTTGGTATACCCCCTTAGCAAGAAAAAAGTACATAACTTATATTATTTTCCATATCCCTCCACCCAGTTCTGACTGGGTGGGGCTAACATTATAAGCATTTCAAAATTTTCTAAATGTTTTGTGAAATACATGGACTCCTTCTCCTCTTTTTGTTTTTTTGTTTTTCCCCCTACAGAATAACACCAAAAACAGTTAGTCTCTTCTCTGGGAACCGTAGAACCGCTGTTCTACCCTCTCTTGTTGCAATAAGGCATGAGGGGAACCCCCATCTGTATGTGATATGTTGGTCTTGTAATATCTTTGTTTTTTTTGAAAAATTCTTTTTATTGAAGTTTTATACAATTAATACAATTAACAACATTTGCTCACACAACCGTGCGAGCACACAATAGGTGCAACCCCTCCGCCCTAGCCGTCACCCCTACACTGTAGGATAAGCCGTAGAAACCGGATAAGACCCCTCTAGGTCTAGCATATTGTACCTGGGACGGTGCATCCAAGTCATACCCAACATCCCCATGTTCTGCAGAGTTCGCTTTTGTTGACTACACTCCGCCCCCATCAGGCAAGGCAGAATCCGTCATAGTGGAGAAGAGAAACGGAAAAGATAACTGGATAAAAGCAAAAAAAAAAATTTAAATAAAAATAAAAAATAAAATAAAAATACTGGTTCTGGCGCCAGATCGATAAAAGTCTGTATTTTAGATCCATCAATCTCCAGCTCTAATATACCCTTCAAACATTCCATAATTTGGACTTTGTGTAATAATGGAACCGTACGATAACGTCCCGTGGGCTTTCTCCTCCTATCATTCTGGGACGCATAGCTCTATGTATCCTATCAAAGTTCATTTCTGCTGATGGTGTCCGTTTTAACAAGGTATTAAAGGTGTCCCTGAGTTTATCAGGCAGTTCCCGCTCCCCTATCGTTTCAGGGACACCCCTCAATCTTAGATTATTCCGTCCATTTCGGTTTTCCTGGTCTTCTACTCTATATGACACCATTCTGTTAGTTATCCCAGCAATTCTGCTCTGTTCCTGCAGATCTTTGATAGCTTTAGAGTGTTGATCTAATCGTTCCTCCGTGTCCTCTACCCTCTTTAAGACTTGAGACAGTTCAGATCTTATGGTGGTCAGGTCTGATTTTATTGACTCCTCCATACGTTTTAACAGGTTTATCAGTTCATTTTTCGTGGGTAGGGATTGTGCTAATGCATACAATGATGTTTCGGTACCTTGCTGAGAATCCTCTGAGGTCCCCGACATTGCCGGTGAGGTAACTCGTCCGTCCGTGGTGCCCGTCGTCTGATTTCCACCGTGCTCTCTGCCATGCTCTGGAAGCGGAACTCCGTCTGCTGCTAGTGCAGCATCTCTCTCGTCCCGTCCACAGTGACCTCGTTCCGTTGGTTCTGGGGCCCATAGGCGTCTGATCGTCCCCGTCTTTGGAGTTTTAGCTGACGCCGACTTTTGGGCTTTCTTCCCCCCCATAGTATAGGCTTAATCTCGAGCAGTTGGGTCCATGTACTCTGCGTGTCCACTCATTCAGAATGGCATAAGGGGATTCTATCGAAGCTGCAGCTACTCACAGTCTGCCGCCGCCATCAAAGGTGAGCTCCACCCCCAAACAGATGCAGTCGTTAGACTCCCTAATTGACACATAAAGGCCCTGTATGATGTGATGACTGTTGTTTTGCTGCCCCATATTTCCTCTCCTTCCTGTACTCACCGTTCTATTGTATGGTTGAGCATGTCACCACCGCTGCTACATCTCATAGCTGGGAGAAAATGGGCAGCTTAACCCTATTAGTAGAAGTAGGTGCCAGTACCATCTTAGGAGGCATGGTATTGTAGTTTGAGGAAAAAGATAAAAAATGGGGACTATTAATGAGATAGGGATCTAGTCTTTCTGTCTGGGGGAATTCCACTTAAGGTTGAAATGACTATACTAATGTTCTTTTTGCACTACATTTTCCCAAACAATTTACAAAATAACCCTTGGGCTTGGAAACTTCCATTATCTGTAAGTAATATATAATGTTTATATACACTATATACATTGGAAGTCTATATAACAAATTTTTGGGTTGAAATGTTATTTTGGTAAAAAATGATCCTTATATACATTTAGATATTAAGCCCTGAGAAAAGGTAACACTTCTCTGAAGAAGTCAGAAACTGTTTTGAAGTCACTTTTTGCCCACAAGCAGGCATGTGATACAACAATGTAAAAGAGATTTGTCTAAAAACATTCTCTAGTGGAATGTGAAGTGGATTACAGAGAAAACGTGTGCATATTATGGGCAATAATGTGACAATATCCATATTGACATCTATAAATGGATACATTGATTTATTATGTGTTTTTTAAATAGATTGGTTTTTAATCACTGCGTGAAAACATGTATTGTTTTTATATGTTAACAAAAAGTCTCTTGCGCCTCTGGAATATGAATTTCATCTAACATCAAAATAAATAGTATAAGGCACAGAAAAAGGACTTGCTGCTGATGTTGGGAAGATGCTGCCAATACAAGTTTTAATAAACAGGATTTATGACTACATAGTACCTGGGCCAGAAATCCAGAGTCATTCTGTAATGCTGCATCCAGAAGATGTAGAAGTTTTTGAAATTTTGCATCATCGTATTCAAATCGATCTCCAAACGTTATGGAACAAATCATATTGCTAACTGCATTGTCAATGAGATAATGTGGGTCAAATGGATGGCCTAGAAAACAATATATTAGATATGTTATAGTCAAAATACAGTATAAAGCCATATGTATCACAAATACTGCAGCTGAACAGTATCATCAGCCACCAGCAACAAGTGGGATGGATCAAATTCAGATTCAAGGTCAAATTCAGATTCAAATGTTGCAAACTCCCAAGTTTCAAACACAAAGGTTTCAGATTCAAAGATTTTGAGCTAGCAAGTATCATACTAGAACGTTTTAGACATAACAGACTCTGGTTTTTCAGATATGACAAAGTGAGGTCATTATCAAATGTGCAAATACCTTAACAGAGAAATTAGCCAGGATGTGTCGTGGTTAAGGGAAATATCAGGGGTCAGAATCAGAGAGACCAACAGGAGGCTAGGAGAAAGTGGATGCATTAAGGTCCAAGAGACTACATGGGAACTTTTGGCCTCTAGGAGAAATACAACCAAATGGCTTTTCATGGTAAGGACAGTTTTCTGTGGGCTAAAGAAAGTGCGCCACACAAAGTGTGTTGTAGTTCTGCAGTGATTGGTGACCGTGGTAAAACGTGGGTGTTGGCTTAAAGCATATAGTTTGTTGTGCACATTTTTTCACATATTACAAATGGGGTTGGATGAGCTGAACAAGATGATCTCTGAAAATAATATGGACCAACCTAAATAAAATACCAAATATATAGCTTTTTTTTTAAATGAGCACAATACATTTCCCAGTCACATGACATTTCAGAGTCATAATTGAAGTTGATGCTGAAAGATGTTGCTCTGCCTGATAATTTGATCGCAGGTCTAAATATGCAGATCTGATTGAGTAGTGAGTGGTTCACTCATGGCCAGCAGCACAACATATATTATTTGTACTAGCATGGAGAGTAAACTCAGGAGAAAAAAAGAGAGTAACCAGGAACAGGGAACTATAAGAGGGAACAAAGTCAGGACCAAGCATTTCACAATTACAGGGTTAGGCACCATTCACAACTGAGCATCTTGTAGCAAAATGCCTTTAGCTCAAAGAAAGCACATGAGCTTCTTTTGGAGCAGAGACAATCATTTTGTGCCCAGTAGATTTGAATGGAAGCGCCTGAAAAACATATGATAAACACACAAAAATGCTCATAATGCTTGTCTCTCAAACTTGTTATGCCCAGTAACAAAAAATAGTGACTAAAAATAAAAAAGGAATAAAACACTAAAGCAAAACCACCTGTACAAACACTGTACAAAAAACACTAAAAGGAGAACTATGGGGGTGTGGCTTACCTATGGCGGCGGCTGGACGTGTTTAACTGAAGCTCCCGCTCCATCCCAGAGTTGCTCGTGACACAAGGACACTTCGCCGGACTCCCTTACTATCCTCATGGGGGGGAAAAAAGGCCAAAAGTCGGCCTCTGCCAAGAGACTGAATGCGGGCTCACTCAAGCGCCTATGGGCAGCAGAATCCCCGCCGGATGATCGCGGGGCCCTGCACGCGCCTCCAACCCTTTCGCCAGCGCGGCCTGTGAAGGCCTCTACTCACCATCACCGGCCTGAGAGGGACGATACCTCGGCCCAGTCGGAGGCGGAGGGCTCGGATGACGGCTCCGAAATGTCGATGCGCACCTTGGCACGATCCGTGCCGACCAAGCGGGAGCTGTCGGCGATGTTTCTCCGCCAAGAGACCTCTATTAAGTCGGACCTGACGGCGCTCAGGTCCGAACTCTTGCAGACGCTGCACCGCGTGGAGGCCGCGGAAGACCGCCTAGATGAACACGCACAAGCGATCCGAGAGCTCCAGAATCAAGGTAAGCTATCCTGGCTCCACACCCGCCAAGCGTTGTACAAGATCGAGGACCAGGAGAACAGAAACCGCAGGAACAACCTGCGTCTCCGAGGCCTGCCTGAAGCCACAGGTGACGCAGACCTCGCGGACACTGTCAGGGGCATCCTCAATTCCATACTGGGTCTACCCCCTACCTCTACTCTCCTGTTTGACCGGGCGCACAGGGCCCTGCGGCCCAGAGCAATGGCGGGAGAACTTCCCCGAGACGTCATAGTGCGGCTCCACTACTACGCAGATAAGGCCCTGATCTTCACACACCTAAAATCCTCCTCTTTTGAGACTCCTACTAGAACAGAACACCACGAAAGCCTTTAATATAGTCTCCCGTAAATATTACGAAATGGGGGGTAGATTCCTAGCACAGGCGTTGAGAACAAAAAAATCAGTCACATACATCTCTAAGATTAAGACGAACAAGGGATCCATGGCACATACCACCACGGCCATTGCGGAAGTTTTCCGCAATTATTACCAGGACCTCTACCAGGTGAACGATTCAGATGATCCTATGACCACTGAGTCTAGATTGGAGAGAATCAATCTGTACCTTCAGCGAGCCTCCCTGCCCAGGGTGCCTGACTCCTCTCTTTCGCAGCTTGACGCTGACATCTCAGTACTAGAATTTAAGTCGGTCATCAAAAGCACTCCACTGGGTAAAAGCCCGGGCCCGGACGGGTTCACTCTACTTTATCATAGACGCTTCCAATACATCTTAGCCCCTCATTTTTGCTCTTTTGCCAACGCTGTCTCCAAAACTGCCCCCATGCGCCCAGAGTCCCTTTCGGCCCACATCACAGTTATAGCCAAACCTGAAAAAGATCCCTCGAGCTGTGCCAGCTATCGGCCCATTTCCTTACTAAACGTGGATACAAAATTATACGCTAAGATATTGGCGAATAGGCTTTATCCTCTCCTTCCATCGTGGATACACCCAGACCAGGTGGGCTTCATTCCGGGTAGAGAAGCCCGGGATAATGCTCTCAAATCCATTAGCCTGATGCACATGGCTAAGCGTCAGAAATGTCCCACTCTTCTCCTTTCCACCGATGCAGAGAAGGCATTTGACAGGGTGGCATGGGATTTTCTCCTCGCCACCCTGTCCCACCTTGGTCTGGGGGTCCGGATGCTGGAGTGGATATCGGCATTCTACGCCAATCCCACGGCACGAATTCGTATCAACGGCTCCCTATCCCCATCATTCACCCTCCACAA